GATAGAGATTTGTATATTTTAATTTATTTTTTAATTTCGCATATTCCTCGAGATCGCTGCAGCGCCAGGCTGCTGGCACACATTCCAGGTGCGTGCCCGAGTAAGATATTAGCGATATACTTATTTGAATGTAATATTGCATATATTTTTGTTAATTTATCCACAAAATAAAAATACTGATGCAAATTAGCCTTAGTGTTATGCAATATTGATTTATGTCTTACCAACTACATGGAAATTTATTGTAAATGACAGTGTAAATCTAATAATAAAATTCAAAAGTCCAAAACTTTGTTTATTTTGCTCATCACCCTCACCGAACGACAGTATCATTTTACACACAGGGTATTTTTGAAACGCTCCCGAGAACGAAGACAGACGATAGTACCAATGATACCTTTGAACTTTGTACCAAAAGAAAATGGATCCAAATGAAAAACAATCATCTTTTCACAACGTTTTATTAGTTTTATTCACGCTCTATCGTACTAGTAAAGCTAAATGAAACAATAATTTCATAAAAAATTTCATGAAAATACTGAAAAATAAAACCAGCAGAGAAAATTAAAATGGTACCAGCTGATTATAGGATCAATAAACGCGGCGGACGCTGCACCCTTTTATCTAGCTCTGTACGAAAGATTGCATTATGTTAGGTAGTACTGTACTTCACTCAATCTACCCTTCCTTTGCATACACGCGCTGACGCAGCTCGGCCGACTCGTGTCGCCTCGCTGTGGTAGCGGCGGGCTGCGGGCCGCGCGTATTATCATCTTTTCATTTAGAGGCCAGGGAAAATTAACATTAAGTAAATAAGTTTTTGAGGTTATTACAGCTGTCAGATTAGGCCTGTACACTTATTTTTCTTTCCACAACATAGTATAGAACCATAAAAATCGTATCTAATCATAAAATAATAAGTTACAAAAGAAAGCAATTGGTTGTTTTGAAAATTAATAAAGCACATGACGAATTAACAAGTTTTTCGTAGTCTGAAACGGAACGTATAAAACACGTTCCGTCTCCAAAAGTCTATTGAGAATGATAAACATAGTAACATTTTTTTCCTGGCTTTTTGAAAATTCAATTATGCGATACGAAATAAGCAAAAATATGCAATTTTATAAGATATTTCACATCACTAGACGCGTTAGAAAATTTTCAGGTCAAGACTGGACAAGATTCTTTAAAAAAAAAACTAAAAAGTTGACAACCTTAATATTTTGTACAGAAAAACCTTAAATAAGTATTACAGACTTACCTAGTAAAACAATGATTTATGATCATCATAAAAACAATGAAATAAATTGCACACACTAACATAGGATAACTGAGAAGGTTAGACTGCTGCATTTTTGACGTTTCTATTTATTACATCCCGTAGATGTCACTATAGTAAATACCAGAAATTTTGTCTGGCGTAAATCCAGACCGGCAAATGGTGTGAGACGTCTTCATCTTTTCTTCTCGATCATCAATCCAAATAATTAAGACAAATCTTTCAAAGGGCTTTTTCAAGCTGAAAAGGGGGCGTTCAAGTATTACGTAACGCAATTTTTGAAGTTTGATACCTAGTATTTTTGTACTCGATACTTTTAGAGTATTTTATTTCTTAGTTACTCGATACTTTTGTCACTTTAAACTGTCACATGAAATTCAGTAGATAGTAGTTCCTTATCCTATATATAGCGTCGTCCCTCTCGATGGAGTAAGGATTTCGGGGAAAACATTATAGTTGGAAAAATGCATGTTTGACCAGGTACCTAATTTTGATGAATGAATATTATATATAATGGAATAATCAATCAACTGTGCATTTATGTTGTTTAATTAACCCATTCGATGCCACCTTTTTTAAAAGTTGTTACCAAGTGCCACCAGTTTTATTATGTTTTATGGTAGGAAATGGATTACTAATGATTTATTTAGATTTTTTTAAAATAAATATTGTTGATAAATACGAAAAAATACACCAAACGTATACGGTGCGTGGGTGGCACATGGTGAAAAAAGTTTCTCGAGAGATCCGAGAACGCACTTTTGAGAGTATATAGTGGATGGCTTTATGCACGACTGGGAAACATGAACCAATAGTTAAATTGTTAGGATGTAGGGTAGGTAACAGTAATAAAAATACTCATATAAGATCAAAGCAGTCTAATTCTCCTTTTTCACAATTGTATTATAAGTACGTATTTTCATAATAATTATTATAGTAAAATGAAAAATATTTATTTAACAAATACAGAAAATATTTATGCCAAGAGCTTCAACATAGTTATGTAAAACAGTATCTAAAAAAAGCTAAAAGATTAAGCAATGTAGGTATTCTAGCAGAATACATTATACAAGATTTTAGTAAATGATTTGTTATAATTAAATAAAGACAAAAATATGTATATGTCGCAGTATGATAGATAAAGTCGTAATATAGCCCTAGGGATATAATAGTTATACGAAAGCGATTCATTACTATCTCCCAAGGAATATAGGTATAATACGGTTCAAGTTTACTGATATAATTATATTACTTAAGTTTAGTGAAATAATTGTAGGAGTGTAGTTAGAATTAAAAAAAAATACTGAGAAATATGGGATTAAAGAAAATTCACGCAACAAGTACCACGTTTTTCACAAATAATAAGTTTTCCCAATTGTATCGTTAATGCTTATATACAAAATACAATCGTTTTTAATACTAATTGTAATTACTTTAATAAGTTTTATTGCAACAAAGTATTTTAACTGAATGCAGGTTACAATAAGTTGATTTAGTAATAAAAACAAAAACCAATATATTGTTTTATTTGATTCTATGGGAGATTTATAACTATTTAACCAGATTAGTTTAGTCAGATAAATGTATTAACAGATTGCGAGCATAAGGTAGTAATGAATCAATTTGGTATATAACTATGTTAAATATATATGTCGTAGTAAGATGGTTGAAGCCGTGATATAGTTATATCCCTTATGATATAGCTATACATACACCGTAATACAGTCATATGAACTCGGCTCATAACTGTCTTACTAGGAATATAACTTGATACGAGCACCATCTAGTAATATATCACGACTTCAACCATAGCGTGTGTGTGTGTGTGTGTGTGTGTGTGTGTGTGTGTGTGTGTGTGTGTGTGCGTGTGTGTGTGTGTGTGCGTGTGCGTGCGTGCGCGTGTATGCGTGCGCTTGTGTGCGTTCACGTGTGTGCGTGCGCGTGTGTGCGTGCGCGTGCGTGCGTGCGCGTGTGTGCGGGCGCGTGCGTGCGTGCGCGTGTCCGTGCATGCGCGTGTCCGTGCGTGCGCGTGTGCGTGCGTGTGCGTGTGTGCTTGCGTGTGTGGGGGGATATGTGCTTGTGTGTGTGCGTGAACTATGTATATTTGTGGTATAACCTAAAACAATCAACAATACAAAATCCAGGCTGCTGAGGGCAATTTGGACAGAAGAATGGTGTATCGTTACGTATTTTATTGACTTCCCAGCAATATTTGCATCTTCTGAGACCTCTCCCTTATTTTGGACCTTAGTCTCGGGAAGTAAATTTTCTATAACTGATTGCCTGAATTCGTAGTAACTTAGTTTTTTGCCAGAAAACAAATTAGATAAGGTAAATGAATTGTACATCATTTGTTGGAACAGGTGGATTCCCAATTTTATGTACCACCTGATGGACTTATGTTCGCAGCAATAGTACGCTATCATTTGATCTTGGTGACCAATACCACCCATGTTACGATTATATTCTACAACCATTTTAGGCTTTGAGACCTCTGTATTTCTTCTTGTAGTGGTAGTAATCATTTGCGAATTAAATTGTGATGATATCATAGTGACGTCTCTGTTATCCCGCCATTTCATGACACAAACACCATTTTGGTTGTACTGCGAGACACATTCGCCTTTCTTTAACTTTTTAGTAGTAATGTCCTTTGGGTTATTTTTTCGTTTTTAGTTTCCGTGCAGTAAGTATTTTGAGATAATATTTTTTCTGTCAGATCAACAGAATTATAAAAGTTGTTCATAAAAACAGAGTAGCTTTTATTGAAAAAATCATGTACTTAATAGCTGTAAAACTACTTTTGAGGAATGATTCACGCCACCTACAATTGGGTCTCCTGCGCCGGCATACACTATTTGCTTTAGTATTATTCCGTTTGCATCAGTCAAAATATATAATTTTATACCATACTTATGGCTTTTATTTTTTATGTATTGTCTGAATATGAGTCGACCGCGCCACAATACAAGGGATTCATCAATACATAAATTCTGTACAGGGTTGTATATTTCTGTCATCCTATTATTGAAAAACATAACCAAAGTTGAAATTTTCGCTAATCTGTTATCGTCTGATTCTAAATTTGCAAAGTGAATTGCTCTTAGAATTAGTAAAAAACGATTTCGACTCACGTGCGCACGGAAACAGGTCGGGTCAAATAGTCTGTGCTTCTTCCAGTAATCTTGTATTCTATTTAATTTTATTGTACCCACATGGAAAAGTAGCCCCAAAAATATTTTGAATTCTGTAACTGTTACATTTTTCCAGTAGTGTATTCGATTTCCGGGTAAACTTTTTTGCAAGGATATTGCTTGCATTACGATTGGTTTTATCAATGATGTCCTGAATTACGTAATCTGTCATAATTAAATTAAAAAAGTTGATAGGTTCAATTGCTTCCAGTTGTACATTTAACCCCATTGGGTTTCCTATAAAAACAATATATTTTATGTGGGATGTTTGGTCCGACCAATTTAAACACTCACCATCACTAGTTGGAGGTGCGAAGGTTTCAGTTGGTATCATATTATCATCATCTGAATCAGAATCATCAAAATTGTTAAGAAAATTTTCATCTAGAACCTCATCATCGAAATTGTCATCAGAAGCTTCAAGTATGTCCAGAAGTTGTTTATCTGAAAGTTCTTACGCCTGAAAGTGGGCCCTTGCGCAATTTTCTCGCTCATCATTATTATTTAATATTGCCGAAAGCTCCTCCTCAATAGGCATTTGTACACAGCATTTGTACATGTATTTGACACAAGTCACGACCAGTTCTTAACTGGTGATTGATAGAAGATGCAGAACCTCCTCTAGTTCTAACTCTTCGTCTTTTCCCTTGGCCAGCTACATCTGTTTCTGTTTCTGAGTTTTGTTTCAATATTTTTCCGGTCCTGGAACTTTTTCCAACATGTCCACCTCTTACACATCGTTTATTGCTTTCTTCGATAGGCAATGAAATCTCAATATTTTTGAACGATGTCGTGGGTTCATTATATGCGGTGAAAGGTTCATTACATGAGGTGGAAGGTTCATTATATGAGGTCGAAGATTCAATATATGACGTCGAAGGTTCATTATATGAGGTGGAAGGTTCATTATATGAGGTGGAAGGTTCATTATATGAGTTCGAAGGTTCATTACACGAAGTCGAAGGTTCATTACGTAAGGTCGAAGGTTCATTACACGAGTTTGAATAATTTATTTCAGTTGGTGAAGTCTTGTCATCACAGTCTGCTTGGGCAACCATATCGATTACAATGGCCTTCGAAGTTGAATGTAATTCTGACACATTTTCGACAGACCAAGTTTTAACTATACACCACTAGAAGATATGCAAAGTACTGGAGACTGATTGAATAGTTGTTGTTTACTGAAACAACAATATTCTATTGAGAAACTAAACTTAAAAATACTCTCAAAACTAAAGAAAAGAAATGTGTAGGATAGTTACCTATATACGTAAGTATCATATTAGTCTGTGGTTACCTATCTTTGAACAGAATGTGGGAGTGGCAATATTGGGCATCGTGTTTCAATAGAAGTTCGCCGAATATTCTTAGGTTCCACTTCTACTACCGTATATAAAGAGCTCGCCCTTTTCCGTTTTAAACCTGATGTGCTACTTTTATCTCTAAAACATTTTTATTATCCGATTTGTTGAACTTTAAAAAATAACATTCAATATATTGATTTTAAATAGATAAAATCATTCTAACCATTCATATTAATAGATGAAGATCAACTGTCTTTATTATTAACTCACCTATCTTGTGAATAACTTTCTTTTCTAGCTTGTAAATTAGTACCTTCGGCAGTATTAAGTGACAATTCAACCAAACGACGACCTCTATTATTATTTGCCATAATGCTTGAGGAGAAAACAAAAGACCTATAAACGACAAAAATACTAGTTACTTTACACAATTCATCCCATTCAAATTTAAAAATAAAAGCGTTTTTTCACAAACATTGAGCGACCGATTATTGTCGATGTTGTCGATGTGTAACACCATCCATGAACAAAGTCGTTCATAAATGCCATTAAACGCACCATTATCGTTGGTATGTTTTGGACTTCAAAATTTATCCAGTATCCAATATTATCAGTAGACTTAAAATTACGTTGTTGTTATAAATAATATGACTAAATTTGATTAAAAAATCATATTTACTTACCTTTTAACACCTAAATCACTGTAAAAACTTGATTTATAATACTAGCAAAAATCGTCAATTCAATTGTGACATTTTTTTTACTACTGTAACGGTGTTGCTATATCAGAAATATAATCTAGATTGAGGTATATTAAAAAAATGGCAACAATAATGCAACGCACAGTGAATAAATGATACTTTATTAAAACATACACTACACGCATACGGGTGCGTTGCAGGCACACAAGTAAAAAAAAACTAAAACGCACACGAGTGCGTTGCTGGCATGGAATGGGTTAAAGTCTAGCGATCAGTAATAAATAATCAGAGTAGAAGACTATTTTTGTTAAAAAATTTATCAATAATTGTTATTATTTAATGGCAATATTGACTGATTGGTATTAAATTCGTCGTTGAAACGAAAAAGTTTATATCCCTATTACACTACACTGAATCAGGGTCCCTAACTAGGGCGACAAAGTGGACCCGGTCTGCAGTGCCCGTAACGCCGTGTACCGTAACACACTTCAGCAAACCAAATCGTTTTCAATATTTAGTATAGGTAACGTTTTAAGAGTAACAGAACGAAATAGTGACAGGCAAAGTATAGTATTTGTTTTATTTATTTTTTTATAGAAGAGGAAGCAAACGAGCATGCGCCTCACCTGATGTTAAGTGACTACCACTGCCCATGATCAACCGCAATACCAGGGGAATTGCAGGTGCGTTGCCGGCCTTTTAGAAAGGAGTAAGCTCTTCTTGAAGGTCCCCAGATCGTATCGGTTGATTGATTCTAACTACACTTAGTTACAAATATTGGAAATGGGTCGTAGAAAATTCATAAATCTTATAGATATTTTATCTTATAGCCATTTTTATTAACAAAAATATTGTATTTACATATAGGTATAGGGTCTCTAAGAAAACAGGACACCAACCTACTTTCAAGGTTATTTGTACTTTAAATATGAACAGTTTTTTCTAAGAAACCCTACCTATGTCTCCGAGCAAAATAAAATCGCTTGTTTCATTTTATTTTTACTGTTGATGGAAACAGCTGTATTTTTTTACTCTGAGACAGTAGGTTCCTCAGTAAAATTTGTTCATTTTGATGAGTAAAATCAAATCTCAAGGCAAATCAAGTTAAATAATAAAATTATCTCTTATATCGAATACGCGAAAGAAAAACAGGTGTTCCATACATTTACCTATGTTTTTTAATGTATGAAACAGTAAATATTTTTTCATCATTTTAAGGTTGATTCCATAGTAAAAGTTGGTCAGATTCATTTTCTGTTTTATTTGTTGTTGACAAAGAGATGTACCTACTTAAATTTTAACTAGTATAATTAATTAGAGTTCATACCTTGTGATATTTACTTATTATGTAGGTATTCATATCTGAACGCATTATACTTTCTTACAGTTTTGCAAATATTTGACATATTATTTAAATAAAACTTATCTTTTCGGATTATCTCGCGGATTTATTTTGATTTTTGGTTCCCGACTCTTCGAATGCTTTAAAGCTATAATGGTCACGGGTAGGGTTGCCAGGTCTTAAAACCGAAAAGCCGGTCAGACCAGCGACCTTAGCAGGACATTTGGTAAAAAGGCCAAACACCCTTAATTTTTTAGTCTTAGTATAACATGACAATTTTTTTTTAAGTAAAACAATACTTTTTATTATTTACCATAAAATCTTAAATTCTAATGAAATAACAATAACATTGAATAAGTAAGACTTCTTTGTTGTGAATCATTCAATATTAATTGCGATAATTGCAATATTATGTATATAAGTATGTATATTATGAAAAATGTATAAGATGACAATTTTTTTTAAGTAAAACAATACTTTTTATTATTTACCATAAAATCTTACATTCTAATGAAATAACAATAACATTGAATAAGTAAGACTTCTTTGTTGTGAATCATTCAATATTAATTGCGATAATTGTAATATTATGTATATTATGAAAAATGTAAGAAATGGTCAAATTTTAAAAGCCTAACAAAAGCCTTCCGGGCCGGACACCGTCTAATTGGGCCGGACACGCAACCAAAAAGCCTGACTGTTTATCCGGATGCCTGGCAACGCTAGTCACGGGAGAGATTAAAGTGTTATGGTCGCAACACACGGTCAGTTCAACTGATCATTCCAACTGATCAGTTTAAACTAAAACTTGATTTTTTTAAATATTTAATTTTCGATATATCGATTAATAAACATAATATAAATAAACCTCCGATATGGATATATTTGTAATTATCGATATATCGAAAATTCAACATTTAAAAAAAATTATCAGTTTTAGTTTGAACTGATCATTTGAACTGACCTTGTGTGACGTCCATTAGACGTCTCAAAGGCATTATATTATAGTTGTTACAGATAGTGACTATCTACAAAATAACAAAATGAATTGAAAAATCCAAAAATACCTTACAATATTTGTTAGTTTTAATTCGAAACATTTAAATTTTTATGTTATATTAGAACTATTAACTTTAATATGTATAACTAAACCATAAAGAAAATTAAAATGTTAATTATTTAATTAACCAATATTATTGTTTTTTATATAATGTAAAAGTTAAAATATTTATTTTTTATTTTAACCCGCGAGAACTCACGCTATGAGCATTTTGCTCACGGTAAATTTAAAAATGGCGCCATTCTGTCAAAAACCTACCTGACAGTCTTTTGCGCCGTGTAGCTGAGTTTTATTCCCTCTCAGTCTTGCAACATACGTTGGCCTAGGCATGTCGATTCACTCTTAAAAAATCGATCTCTGAATCGACTTGAATCGAAAACACTAGAATCGATTATCGATTAAATCGAGGATTAAAAGATCGATTTTCGATTAATCGCGACATTTTCAAACATGAAATTTCAAGAATTTGCGATTTTTTATTTAATTGAACTTTAATATTTTTTTAAATAAAATATTAGTAATCTTATTAATTAACATTATTAATATTCCTTTTAACCACTCCTGGTATGCTTGAAACGCTTGTGTTAGTAGTGGTTCGCACATAAGCCACTCGATCCTTTTTTTTTACAAAGTGATTCCATGTATCACTTTTATTTGACATTTTAGGCTAGAAACAACAACAATACTTTAACAAAAGTTCAAACTGCAACGTACATTTCTCGGTAAATCTGTTTCAATCTAATAACTCACTATTTATCAAATTACAGTGAATGCTACACGAACACAATACTGGTTATTTCCTTACTATAAACCTCTATAAACTTCAACATATATTACAGTATCTAGGTATTTAAAAAGTACTCTGTCTGTACTTACAGCTCACAGTATGTATGTTTTTGATAATTAATAAAGTAAATTCACAAATTCACAGTTCAAACAGGTTCACAGCTATAATATTATATTGTAGTATGTATATGTAGTCTTTGTTCACAGCACAGATTAAGTTAGAACAATATTCCACAGGTAAGATTAGAATTAGAATTTTAGAAATGAAATGAATAGAAATGAATGAAATGACAACTTTTCGATATTGTTGGATGCGTTCATAAATATTTATTTTATTCAAATATATATTGAGATCAAATTATCAACCAAGTATGACCGGTTGTTTTTGCGTCCTCCAACAGCAAAAAATTAAAAAAACTGCGGTATCTGACCCCAGCCAGTTTGGGAATTTTATCGCTAGTTCTTGAATCAGATGAATCAGTCCGATTCGAGAGGTTTTTGGATCGATTCAGTGAATCGATGCGGTGCTCGGAATCGATCTAAAAGATCGATTATTTTACGCCAAAGAATCGATTTTTCGATTAATCGATTTAAGATCGACATGCCTACGTTGGCCTTGAGCTTGAGTTAGTGTGCTCCAGTCTGTCATGGAGGAAGGTTTGTTCGAATCACTTCCAACGCGCGGGGTTTCGCTCTTCGCGCGAGTATCGATGTAAGTATTAATTTTGTGAGTAAGTTTTTTTTCAAATGTTTAATATTTTTATATTCTACGTTTTATGTCATTTTTTTTAAAATAACAGTGATGGTTTGTGTATAAACTATAATTTAAAATAATAAAATTAGATCCATGTTTATTGTAGATGGA